TTAATTATTTCAAAATATGTAATTATATCATAATTGATATTATTATTTCATCTTTGGAAAAAAAATTATCACTTGATCATTTGAAGGTTTGATTGCTTTGAAAAAAATTTTAATTCTTAATATGTATGAAATTTGATCCAAATTATAATTTCAATTAAAATTTGGATAAAAATTGTAATAATTTATTTTATTTATAGATAATAAAAATTCACTAGAAATTTAAAAATGAACCTGAGTAATTGAACTTTTTTGTAGAATTTTTTTAATTTTTGATTGAATTTTTATGAATATCTAGTGTATTGATTGGTTTTTTTGTATTAACTAGAACTTTAGTGAGTAAATTCAGATTAGTTTGTTACTATAGAAAAAAAGTTCAAATCGTAGCTCTCATTGATTTTATTTGGGGAGAATCTATAGAGATTTTATGTGTTTTTGTGAATGTCACCATAGCAGTGTAGATGGAAATCAAGTATTCGATGTGTTTATATTAATGTGAGTGCATATTTCTCTATGTGTGTGATTTGCAACTCTGGGAGAAAATATGGTCTTTTGAAATTAGAAAGTGAATTTCATTTTCATACCGTGGTTTGCTTGGTGCACATAGGCTATTGCTATTGATTTGAATCAAGAGAAGTTGATGTTATCACAAAACTGCTAGATCTACTCTTGCTAATTAGCATCTATTGTATCTCCATTGTGCAAACCTACTTTTTTTGTTCGGATTCACATGATAAACATTATTCTCGTGCCGCGAGAATTAGTGACAACGGTTTTCAGTTCATAAATTTGTGGAGGTCAAATTAAATGTGATGTCGTTAAGACAATGGGTATGGAAGAGCAAACGATTAGATGATATGATATATATATATAAAGATAAAATGGACACATGAAATTGACATGAGTATGTTAGTATGAAGCATCAACTGTTGACATTAAAAATATCAAAATTTTGCTATTTTGAATGAATCGTGAAGACTTGAGAGGATATTTAGTTGCAAGATGGTTTTTTTTAGCTGCATTATGGATATTACTCGTCCATTACGAAATTAGAGTCTTAAAAAGTTGCCTTTTGCTAGATTAAAAAAAAATGTCCTTAATCACATTGATTCGGTGAGATCAGTCTTGCTTATATTGTGAGATCAATAGGACGGTAGAAGTAGTTTTGTCCATTATGTTGTTTGATCATGTTAATCTTTGGGCCGGTTTTGCAAACAACTTTACTTTTCACATCCCAATCAAGGCCTTGATTCAAGGTTGCGTCAACGTCCAACTTCACCTGTTGTTGAAATGTCACTCGTTCACAAACTCGGAGTTGAGTTTCAAAGGATCTATAATCCTTTGAGCATAATGTATACTCAAATTATACATCGAATGGTTTCTGCGAGAGTGTTATTTCCAACTTGCACCGCAGATATATCCTTGAAGCTCTTACACTTACATTTCTGCATTGAAGGTTTAAAAATTTTAGTGTATAGTCTGTATGCCAAATATTTTTTGACTATCACTTGCACTAAATACTCACTATTCCTACTTTGTGTGACAAGAAAAAATACTGATGACTTTTTTTTTACTTACTTGAGGGCTTTAATATTAAATGCTAAAACTTCAAATTCTAAGATTTTAATCCTAAAATTTAAATCCTAAATCATAGACGAGTTTTGAATAATCATTCATTGAGATAATTCATATTTGATTAATGAATATATTTATTACAAAACATCAAAATTAAGGTTATCTTAATGTATTGCAGGTTGTATCAATTATTTTCTATACAATCTAGATAATTCAAAAAAATAGTGATTTTTTTTCACATAAATGGGAAGGTATATCCGTTTGATGTTGAACTTCTCTATTTTCAACACCAAAGATTAAAAAATATCTTCAATTATAAGTTGTGATTAACATATTATCAAAATTATATTATTTGAATTTGAAACATATAAATATTTATAACTATTGTATTTTATTATTTGATGTTCTTGATTGACGGATTTATTGCAAAATTTCTCCAACACGAATTACATCTCCTTGTAATATGTGAGCTTAACAATATAAAAATTTATGTTAAAAAGATTTTGAATTTGATATTCTAGTGATTGATTTTTAAATATCTGAGAAAAAGTAAGTGATGAGAAAAAATTCTTCCAATTTCAAGCTCATTACTTCTGTTGTATCAATCATTGTCAAGTGTGTTCATTCATATAACAAAAGAACAATGACTGACAATGAAGTCTCTAGTGTTTTGTTGACTTATGCTAAAAGATTATGATACCATTTTTCCCATTCTTTTATTGTTATATTACATAGAAAGTTTTAGTATGCTAGTCAAGTTTTGCATAAGAAGCACAAGCAAAGTAAACTAGCGATATAATGATTTCTATGTATAATTTAATAGTATCATATTTTGATTACAGTTTGATTCTAGCTCATGTTAGATTGACTTTTAAAACTTTCCAAAGAATAATCATATAGGCTATAGAGATCTTAGATATCAAGACAGGAAGCAAGGGATTATGTCAAGAGTTAACTCAGGTTTTGTAACTAAGATAAGTGTAAATTTAGATAGTTGGACTAAGATTAGACGTACACTATATAAAAAAGCTAGTTGTACACAAACTTAGAAGTTTCAGTAACATATTTCTGTGTTTTTATGGACATAGCCTCTTGTACTCACTATGTGTTGACTTTTTATGTGTGTGCATCTCTTTGTGTGAACATACAACCGCTGATGGTTTGCATTTTCTTTCAGAAAATCCCATCATTGGGTTCAAAAAATACTAAATTAAACACATAACTTTGTGCAACGATAGGCAGAAATTTCAATAATATTGATCCAAATTTCTCTTAAGATTAACAGTTTCAACTAATAATTAATTTGCATATTATTCTTAATTTAAATTTTAGCATTAACTTGCATTTAAATTCTATTTCTCATATTTGAATTACATTCAACTTATATTTTTCTGAGTGTGAAAACAGCAATACTTTGCAGAGTTGGAGCACATGTTATTAATAAAACTACATATGTTCTCCATCAAAATCAGAGGAAGATTATTATCAAGCATGAATTGTACTTTAACCTTAGATGGTGGAGCTAACTAGAGGAAAAGTACCTTGGCTTTAGACGGTTAATATTGGAAGGAGGCTTCAAACAGCATTTCCATTGAAAAGATCTTTGAATCTTTGAATCAACCCTGCGGTTAATATTGTGACATATATACTACATTCACATATGTATATTCATGGTAGAACGAGATTGACATAATCAGTATGTTTCTATAATTCTTTCCATCACCTCCATGGATTGATTGGTAGTTTTATAACTTTTAAGCGATGTGAAATAAATGAACGAAAACAAACACATAAGCACGTTGATTCTATCAATACAGTGATGCTCGATATCACTCCTATCACCTCCATTGCTAGTTGGATGACTACAAATTAACATGGAAGGCAGATGCATCGTCTGTATCTATGTTGACAATAAACGAGCGTCACCAAATATCCATGCATTCTATACACAAATTATTTTTTAAAGGGCTCTAAAGATCACGTATTAGGGTATCAAACGTGCCACTTGCAGACAAGTTCTTGAAAACATAACTTTCATCATGTGTTCAGGAATCGTGTTTGTTGGTCGTTTTTCTTGGAATTTGGTGACACCAGATCAGAGCCCGACATTGGGTGCCCATACCCATGCCCATGGGTTATGGGTGGGTTTTGGGTGACATCATTTTTTCATGGGTGGGCACAAGTAATGATAAGGGCAGTGTTTGTCAAGATCGCACCAAGAATTTGCGTAATTTGAGTAGCATGGGTGGGCATGGTCGGGCACAGGTAATGCTATGAGTGGGCATGGGTGGGCTTATGTAGCTGCTGATGGTTATGGTCTGGGTGCAGATTTGAAGTAAAATGCCAGGCCCTGCACCACATGCTCTAGGCACTCTTGCACCAACATGTTATTTTTCTCCCACTTGTAGTCTTCTTACTGGAATGTACCCAATTCCTGCAGCCCATGCATGCTTCATCTTACACTTTCCATCTCAAGGAAATGTGCCACCAGTTCCTCTTCGTCAGCGTTCATGCGACTACAGTCTTTGCTTCAAAAGCACAATTTCACGTTTTCACTGGTTCTCCAAAGCCTCGGATCCAACCGATTGCAAGCTGACGAAAACATCCTGCACGCATGATTGTGCAATTACGTGGCATGGCTTTCAGTCCCGGCCATGGGCTGGTGATATTTGAGGCTGCATCAGTCGTTTGTTGAGTGGACTGCTTGGGATGATGCACATTGACTTTAGGTTTGAGTGAAGAGATGGCTCAAGCACTGTAAGTTACTACCCCACAACAAACCGTTCTCCCATGTCAGCTGCGCAGTCTAGTTCCTACAGGTCTACAACTCTCCGTTCCTTGATTAGAGTGGGGACAGACCAGCAGAATGTCTGGAGACAAACGAGTCACCAAATCGAGCATGTCACTGTGGATTTGTCGAGGAGAACCATGAGCAGACATCGTATGTGGTAGAAAGAAGACATCTACATTCCAGTGGCAGCTCTAGCCACCCAAGTGTCCTTTTTTTATTTCTTCAGATTGACCGGAAATGTGTGCTAAGTTGCTCAGAGAATGACGGTGTGCATCGTCAACTCTCGCGACAAACTGAGTCGCTTTACATTCCACAACTCGTCTCTCACAATGCTTGGTTTCGCTACGAGCCCATGCGGCCAATTCTCGCCAACCACCTGCGATTGAAGAAACAGCAGTAGACCCAAACTTTCCTGTTCTGGCGTCATAGGATACCAGAGAACATTGCTGCCGAGTCAGGATACTTTCCGATCCTGGACACGTCGGCACGAATTGTGGCTTTTGATCACACGTGGTACCCACTTATTAGCACAATGTTTCGTAAGCTCCTCGATTTCTTTTGTTTCGGAGGCTGCTGACGTGCTATAAGCATTCCGACACGGCGACCAGAGATGCCTACTCATCTGCGGCCTGAGCAGCTCGTCCCACATTCCTGTGTTCTCATTTCGGGCTCTGACATTCTCTCTGCTCATAACAGTCGATCAGGATCCAGAGAAGTTCGACTCGCTCAAATTCCTGGACTCAGAACCGCGCTGACACTAGCGTCATGCAGCATCTATGATTCGCAGTCTGTTTGACATAGAGTACACGAAAATACCGATCTGAGAATTGGGTTCAGAATCTGATTCAGACTGCACGTGACACTTGTACAGAGATCCGATTTGCCCATCGTGTACAGTATCACCCTCGGGTGCGTGTGCCTGTCGATTCTAGCGTCAGTAAGCATGAAGTGTGCTAAATTGATGCTCACAGCGGCGGTCCTGACGCTGCTGGGAACTTCTTGCTTAGCAGTCATAGTCCCGTTGTCCTCGTCTTTTCGAGTCGGCTTCTACAATCAGACCTGTCCGGCAGCGGAGTCAATTGTCCGTAGCACTCTCATCAGCCGATTCCAGTCCGATATCAGACTGCCTGCCCGCCTCATTCGTCTCCTCTTTCACGAATGCTTTGTGACGGTAAGAGTTACAGTTCAGATTGCGAGCGACTGCAGTGGATTCCATGCAATTTGTTGGTCCACCAATCTCTTCTCGCTGCATCATCGAGTGCTATATTTATATACTTCACACGCTGCAGCAGTCACGCATGTGGAACGTGCGATTCTTAATGTAGGGAGAAACATTTTCTTCTGCATGGCATAATATGCTAACACTATCTCTGCCCACGGGAATCGAGCGCCGCAGGGTTGTGATGGATCGTTGCTGGTAACCTCAACTGCTTCCAATCAGGCAGAAAAGGATGCAGCTCCGAATCTCAACGTGGCTGGTTATGACGCGGTGGATGCTGCAAAATCTGCTCTGGAGAATGCGTGTCCAGGAGTAGTTTCGTGCGCTGACATCGAAGTCCTTCTGGCTCGTGAAGCAGTTTCGCTGGTACGTAGATCCAAGCACATCCGAGAAAATGACCGAGCTTAGAGATCACACGATCTTTTCCCCACAGATCATGCACGCACACTTTGAACAAGCGTATTGTGAAGAGCTCAGACATTACAGACGAGCCAACGAATAAAATATAACTGAAGGAGAACAGATCATGACGTAGAATCAGCATTCTTGAAGTAGGACTGGTTACGCTGTGTCTGGCATGTAAAATCTTCAAGCTTGCTAAAGTGTGTTTGGTAAATTGCAATTGCTGTGGAACAGTTGGGAGGACCGAATATAACTGTGCCGACAGGGAGATTAGACGCCCGGAGCTCCTCAGCGTCACTAGCGGCGAGCACATTACCGGGCCTCGGTACTTCAGTTCCAGGGATGATTGCAGCTTTTGCAGCAAAGGGATTCACCACCCAGGACATGGTTGCCCTGCTCGGTACGTGCGTCTCATGCTATGCCTGCTGATATTCCTGCTGGAACCCATCGCTAGCCAAACGTGTGTCCTCGTCAAGTTCCATAAGATTGAAATAGAGCAATGAAGCCCAGCCATCATCCTTTGGTTTAGTACCATAAACATCATCATAGCTTCAGCATCATGTCTTCGGATGCTCCCAGAGGTTTACTCTTTGTTTTGTTTTGATTTTGCAGGTGCTCACACAGTGGGAGCAGCGTTTTGTAATTCTTTTAGCTACAGACTTTACAATTTCAAAGGGACAAACCAGTCCGATCCTTCAATGAATTCCATACTTCTTGGAAAACTAAGGACAGTGTGCCCACGGAGCCCAGTGAACCCTGATCCAACCGTGGCACTTGACCAGGGAAATAACAGCATCAACGCCTTTGACTCCAGCTTCTTTCGAGAGCTCCTGAATGGAAACGGAATTTTAGAGATCGATCAAGCTATTGCTGTACATAATCAAACTGCTGCAATAGTTGCCGCATACGCTGCAAACAGTACGTCTGGAAACAGCACCGCCGGAAACATTACAGTTGTGCCAAGTCTGAACTTCGGTTCAAATTTTGCACAAGTCTTTGTAAAATTAAGTATGCTCGACGTTCTGACTGGAGGCAACTCTTCCGCCACAATTAGAAAAAACTGTGCCATTATCTCATGATCAAAGGAGACAACAACTCTTGTATATACATTAGTGAAACCCCTGGACTCCTTATGGAGCTCCATTTTAGTCCACTTTTAAAATGATTCTCATTGAACTACATTCAGGCATAGACATTGAGACATAGTTAGTTACCTTTGTAGGCCATCAAAAGTGGCCACAGTGTGGAATATTACGTTTGGAAGTATGCAACAGAATTGGATAAGGGTAGCTGCAATTATTTGCGATAAAGTCCATGTACATGAAAATTATTTAAGTGTCCAGTTTCAAGAGTTTTCGGATGATACATGATGAAGATGATTACACGTTTCAGATTCTGCAGGTTTCAGTAAGAGGGGTTTTCCCTCCACAGCGTAAAGTACTGTACTTGCTGCTACCATCGTGTGCAAGTATTTAATCTCCCTTAAATCCTTAATTTCACAGTCGTGATGACTTCCGAGTGAAATTTATCCACCATCGCAGGCATTAATCTATTCTCCTTCAGTTAACTCAGTCCTGTAATTAATCACTTTTATCCAAGTTTGAATGGGGATGTGATTAAACTGAGAACTGTATCGATTTTCATTTGACTGTTTAGTAATTCTAGTGTTCTTTCGGCATACTGGTTTTGGATATACCCTAATATTTAATGAGAGTAAATTATTTGATGGACCCCGGGAAACTCAAAACATTTTACCACTGCAGCCCCACCGTCAGTGATGTTCCGCTATTATCTGGGGTTATTTAGAATAGAAAGATGAAATCACGGATCAGACTCATGGCTGCGAGGTTCGCAGCCATGTCTGAGTTCTTAGACATGGCCGCGAACCATTTTCTTAGACATCTTAGAGCAAATCAGTAGGTTATAAAAACATGGCTGACGGTGGCCCCTTCATGAGTGTTGAGTTTGATTGCTGATTTGCTCTCTAGAGTGGGAGTGTCCGCCCCTGTTGGCCAGAGTATTTTGGCCATGTGATTGACAGTCAGGTAAATTGAAACCTGTTGGGTCCCTTCAAGAGTGTTGAGTTTTCAACGGGTCCCATGAAGTGATTTCCTCTATTTAATCACCACACTGTCCAATTCATATTCTAGAACCAAAAATTCAGTAAACTTGAAGGACAACCTGTGCCAAATATGCAGAAACCTCAAGGCAATCATAAAGATGAGCACTTTCTTGAAATTATTTTTTTTTATTCAAGAAGAGTTCTATCAACTCAGAAAGTACCAAGCAATGATGTACCGCACATTTTAAGAAAAGAATAATTAAATTTGTGCACAACAATTCATCTGATGTCCTGAAACAATATATTTTTGGAAAATATAACAACTTCTGAAATCTTGATTCCTCTTTCTTCTACGAATCTAGTTTTCAAAAAAGTTGTAGTTCTATAAATTCTCTCGCTCGTTGGATGAAAAATAAATCTTATTACAATTCGAAGCAAGTCAAGGTTTCAGTATTTTAAAAAATAAAGATGTGGGTTTTTATTTAAATTTCAAGAAACAATTTTTTTTAGAGAATCTAATTTATCTAGCAATTATTACAATTCAGATGTTAAGAACTAAGAGCTCTAATTTAAATTTTGTAATGATAATTATGAAAATTGACCAATATTTTGTATGAATGGATCTAAAATATAAGTTTCCTCATCTTTCAAATATATGTATATTTGAAATTGAAAATTAAAAATATGTTAGAAAAATATTTTCAATAGATTCATCCTGATAAATATAAGAGAAAATATCATTTTCATATTTTTCTCATCATCTCGCAGAATAAACAAAATGTTGTGTGGCTATAGATTCAAAATGTACTTGAATCAAGTTTAAAATATCATCAGTTTGATAGAAATTTATGTTACATCTTTCATATTAATATTCTTCTCTATGTAATTTTGAATATATGTATTAATCTTGTTGTATATGATACAATATTGTGAGCTGTATGGATATTCTTCTCACTTGATTATCAACTTTTATCTGTATGATATTGACAAAATAATCTTAAAGTTGTTACTTTACACTTATAAAGTTCTTAATTCATCCTATTGCAAAAAAAAATGCAATTTCTCAATGAAAATATATTTATTTTAAAAATTACAAAAATATATAAAAATAAAACTTTATTCTAAATTTCTTCAATTAATTATGTTATATAATCAACTCAGCACCTATAGTTATTGGTTTGTCAAAGTTTAGCGAGAATTTACTATTGCTAACATTACTGAATTATATTAAACGCTTAAATTTTAGAATTGTTAATCATACTCTTAAATATGTAAATGCAAATATTATGGATCTATGCGTTAACTTATTTTCTTAATCTTCATAAGAGAGATATTTATATTCATATAAATGTTCGTATCAATTTATAATAAAACAAAACTCAACTACGAGTGAATTTTTGTTCATTAGATTTAATGATACTAGGTAGCTATATGAGACGTAGTTAGAATACCAGATTCCGTGAACCTACATTTATATATTATCTATAGAATCAATGATTTCCGAAGAGCTTCTTCATTGTATTTCAGTGGTATGACACATAGTTGTGTGTGGGGTATAGAGTGCTGAGGTGTAATTTATTTATTGGTGGTAGCAGTAACGTTTCGATAGTCCATATGATACCTTTTGCGGATGCGATGACACCACACTTATATACGAAGAAAACCTATATAAGTGAGGACTTGTATAATTTGTATGGACTTTAAACTTACACTTTGCATACAGAAATTTACTAAGTATTAGAAACATGAAGAATATGAACTAATATGCATAGTCTGATAAATTCGAGTGTTAAAGTTAAAACTTTAACACTCTCAAAATTTTGTTATGAGATACATGATTCTCACATTTGAGTTTGTGCAAAATTATAGTTCAAAACCCAAAAAACTGATAGTCACAATAAGCAAACACTAATGAAGATGGGTCTTAGAGCAAGAAATAAAAATAAAGATTTACAAACTCGTAGGTGACTTGAATCTTAAACTCTTTCATATATTATCATCTCACACATAGAACATATGATGTCTCAGTTTCCTAAGCAGTACCCCACATTGACCACAAAATTATGCAATAATCCACTTCTTTAACCTATCTTCTCTCGGAGAAACTCATGCCTGACTTAGACTTAAAGTTGGAAAGAAATTAGTGCGTACTGGAGTATCTCAACATGTCATGGATGAAGACAAGACTCGATAGAAATGGAGAAGACATAATGATGAGTAACTCTGTTATCGTGGCAAAGAAAGGAGCGTACAGATATTGAATATTAGTGTGCCGTCCAACGGAAGAGGCCTCCTCCGTCCACTGAAGCACTCGATGCTCACAAAAGATGTTCAGACTCACGGCTCTGAACTTCATCGACGAAATCGTGCTCAAATCTGCCAAGCTCTCGTCGTTTGTCCGTGAGCAGCGTGACTTTTGTTTTGCAGCCGGCGGCATCGTCCTTCGTCTTCGTCTGGTAGGTGGTGATCATGGCCTCGCTTGTGAGTTTCCAAATTTGCTGCCATGCTGTTGTAGCTGTCTCTTGATGGAGGTTTCAGGTGAATTTCTGCCTTCAGTCGTGGCTGGGTTTTCCATTCTCTTCCTTAGGCAGTCGGAAATTTTGGATGGTTTTGAACATTTGGAGGTCTATATTTAATGTTCCTTTCTCGCTGTTGATTGAGCTCACTGGGTTCGAAATGCAAGTAGACTGTGCCCGAATAAGGCTGGTTTGATTTACTGATCCTGCAACATCAGCCTGGTTGATTTTTCCGCTGTGCTATACGATCGAAGGCCATATTCAAAGCTCGCAGTGGACTTTATCTCGTGCAGAGCGAACCGATTGACGCCTGAAAGAGGAGATGTATGCCGCTGCGCCGTCCTGATACGAGAATCGTCCTGAATATGGACATGGCTGCCTTCGATCTCAAGGGCTCGAGGGCGATGCTAGCCTCGAGTTGTTTTATGATTCTGATTCTCTGCCAGACTTGGAAGGTTGCTGGTTCGTCGGGATATGGTCTGGACAGCGCACTCAATCAGGCTCAAAGCGATCCCCTGGCCGACGATGATATTTTTCTCTCCCTGTCTCCTGCCCTAAAAAACTTTCTCGTCAAGAATCCCAACTTCGACACGAACAAAAAGGTGCAGGCCCTTGCAGGCTTTGAATCGACCACCGTTATCAATGTCAAGCTGGTGGGTTTCCCGGGCGACGATGATCGCAGTAAGCAGCAATTGGAAACACAGCTTTCCCGCTACATAGATGCACTGAATCAAGAGCTGCGCGTCAGTGTCATCGGGTCCGAGCCCCACGAATTGATGGTCAAAACAAAGATCACTGTGGAGGTGACGAGGGTCGGCCGGCAGCTGACGGACAAAGTTTACAGCGCTGTGAAGGCTCACCTTGATTTGACACCTCCAGCAGCGACAGGTACTCGGCTTTACTACAATGCCCTTCAAGCTGTACCTCACACCGTCGTAGATGATATCATTCAAGCCGACCTGGAGAAACCTCTGTCCTCCTATGTGGTCTACATTCTCAACACTCGAGCTCAGGACGTTGCCTACGGATACGAGTATGGGACTGGAAGCCAATCGAATCACTATCCGAAGTGCCTCGGGACATTCTGGACGGGAAAAGACCGGTACATGTGGATAGACATCGCAGCTGGTCCTGTGGAGTATGGTCCTTCAACATCTGGCGAGGGTTATGTCAAGGATGAAATGTTTCCTTCATCTCAGAATTACGGGGTGAACCAGTTCCACACTGTTCTAATGGCAGATCTCGCTGCAATGATTTGGAGTGCTGCTCGTCTTCTCTTTGTACCAGCTGTGCGCATACCCGTTTCTTTTGAACAAGATACCGAGGTCCATCTTATCCACATACAAGGCGCAAATACTACAGAAGACAGTAAAGGCATTGACCTGAAACTCATCGAAGAGGCCTTTATGCAGGAGAAAGAGAATCTCTTGCTACCACAGCAAAAGCTGAGGTTCAAGTATTTCAATTTGAAATTTGCCACCTGTCCCATTTGCGCAGCAGCTCTTGCACGGGCTCACAGGACATTTACTGCACGAGTCTTTCTGGAAAGATACAGTCTTTTTGTCGATGACTACTTGGATTCGAAGCAACTCCATGAGTTTCTCTCCGAGTTTGGAGCAGAATTGGAAGAGAAGATGCAGATAGATGCCGAACCCTCAGCTCATGTGCTACCCGTGTACATCTTGGACGTGGATTCTGATAGGCAGTTGCTTTTGGATCGCTACCATCAGGTGATTCCTTTCCGAGATATGGTAATAGCTGTACGAAGCAAGCAGGCTCAAGTGGTGACAGAGTACAGCTGCAATGGTCGACCTATGGTGGCACAAACTCGAATGCTGGAAAGGCCGATCGTCGGTGCACTTTTGCAGACATTATGGGGAGTGGCACCAACACATCTCACTTGGAGTGCTCAACATAACAGCTCCTTAGTTGATTATCGATGGGCAGTGGGGCAGACACCGTTTGGTCCATTTTCAGACAGTATGTCCCTTTCGTTTGCCCAGAGAGATGCTGCTCCTCGGAACGTCCTGTACTCAATGCTGAACCAATCCATCTCGACAGCTCTGGATCTGTTAGAAACAATCAAGGTGCATGGTGGAGAGAAGAACCTTTTTGGTCAAAAGAGGCACGTGGAGTTCTTGCAGCGCTGGAATTTGTTCATGTACAAATTAGAGAGGGCCGTGTCTACTATTTCGCACTTCGACTTCAAGACGGGCCTTTATTTTCTGAAATCAGCAGAGCACGACCTCTTTGCTGTTCACAATCTTGCATACACGGCGTCGGGAGATTTCGAGGCCACCATGATATGTTACAAAGATCCCCCTTTTCCGTGGGTGTCGATCTTTTCCTTCCTTTTGTTTCTCGGTGGAGTAGCCTTTGTTTGGCTCAGAAGAGACAGGATATTTGTTAACAAAAAGAAACGGTTTTGATACCATTTCGTAGGTTCTTGCTTTGAGAACATCATCATATTATCAATGCGAAGCATATGGTCTTCTTTCAGTGAATTGGAATAGCTGTTATCCCATGAACTCTCCTCTGGAAACGGTGAGGCATCTACCCGTGTCATTGTTATTGTTGCTTGAACTCTTCATTCCCCCAGGCCAATATGTAAGTGCATGAGTGAAGATCTATGATCCGAAGGCAGCCACTTGGTTCTGACTTAACTCACTGCAGGAGATGCGTCCTTCACTTTGCTTAAATAAGATCTGTGGATTCCTTATGGAGCAGGGGGGAAGACACATAGCCTGAATCAAATACAGGCGTTGGTGTGATTGGTAGTCGTAAGCAATAAGCTAAAAGCTAGTCATTCATCTGGTTGTGAATGCTTGAGCTCACAGTCATGTCGAGAGTCAATGCAGGAAGTCTCAACTCCGTTAACTTCTTTGTGTCGATGGATATTATCCAGCAAACCAGGAAATCTTTCAGGACCGGTATGTGGCGTTTGCATCCTCGGAGAGTATTATCAGTATCGGAAGGCATGCTACGCTGTAGACACAAACTCAACCATCGTCGTAGATCACACCTGCTGGTGCAGATCTTATAAGTAAGCAACCGGAGGAACCTCGTGCTTAAAATCCTGAATGATCTAAACAGCGGGTAAGTTTGAACTCTGAATGGCGCAACGACTGTTCAAACATGCACTATGTACTTGTTGCGGAAAAGCGAGGATGATCATTGAAGACTGCTGTAGGTTGGACAACGCGGAACCCGATATAGGCCTTCTATCACACTCTATTTGAGATAACCGCCCGTCAACATGCAAGCTAACAGACCTGAAACACTTTGTGTAAGTCAAATTCCAACGTCAATGCTAGACCCCGAAAGTATTTTGTGAGCCGGTTGTGAATTTGTCATCTAATTGTCTTCAGTCACGCCGCAGTGGAAGGAATTTGACCTTAATATCACAGAAACTGAGGAACGGCTTGGATGGGACATTGACCTGGAAAAGTAGGATGTAATCAAAAATATCATAAATTGTGAATAGGTTGGAGCTATATTTTGATGCTGATGAGATGTTTTATTCCATTGTAGAGTAAGGAAATTATCTTTGTAACACCACTAATTGAATTTACTTTTATCATGTTACGAGTTTTCTGTATAATATGTCTTTAAACTTGATCATGTATCCATGTTGAATGGCATGAATCTGATAAACTAAAACAATTATAGTTGTATATCCCATTCACTGTAGAATTAATTTTTTAATACCTTGAGTATTATTAATGGTTATTTGTTCTATTGGTTTTCATACGAATATTACAAATATAGTTTACAGTTTACAAATAGTTACAAATCTACTTTACAAATATAAACAACTTATCTTCTAAGTCTTTCGATCTGATTTCAGAAACGAGTGATTTCCATACAAATATTTATATCAAATTTTCTTTCGTTTTTTAATGAAAATGACAATATATTAAAATAATATGATTACCATTATAAAATCCAGTTGGATTTTCACCAAAGTGCAAATCTTATCCTTCCTTCGTCTTCCCATATTAAAAGCTGAAATTTCTTGCCAAAGTCAAACTTGTTCATATCGAATTCTCTCTTGTATTTATTCCGCAGTCTTCAATTAACGTCCAGAATTGCATGGACTCATTTACCACAAGTAAGTATCGTTTGATAGTTATGCTACACAAACTTTCAAAAATACATGAAGGAAGATGGCATATAATGCGAATGAGTAGTTGTGTTATCGACGTACGGTAATTTAAAGGAACAAACTATATTTACGTGTTAAATTATTTTAATCTATTTTTTAGGATAAGTGATGGTGCTACATTGTGATTCCAAGTAACACAAAATTTTTTTAGGCAATAGAATATTTACTCTGTCAAATATCAAATAAGACATATGTGTATCAAATAATTATATATACTAAATATTTTTAAAATGAATAAAATTTAAAGGACTATGTACTTTAACATAGACATCCTCTGTTCCCCTCTCACAGTTATTAAATATGAAAGTTGAGATGATGTTGCATATCTGCATACTTATAACATTTTCTTAAGATACTACAAACTTGTATTGAGATAAACATTATTCTCAAATTCAACTTCCTGTCTCAGTTGGTATTTAATTGAAAGAATAATCTCTCTTAATTTGAGTGAGCTCTACCGTATTGACAAACAATAATATTCTTTTCAGCTCAATAGAAACATGTTCATATTCCAAGGCATCCTTGAAGCTTTACAAGGCTTCAAGTTGTAAGATATATTTGATGATGATTTTCATGATTCCAACTAAATGGAAATTCAGGTGCTATTAAAGTACGAATATACAAGATTTTCAGAAACAACACACACAATTTCTGAAAAAAGTCTTGGCTGGCACGTTCGTACAAGATGCATATTACAAGGGGTTTGACCCTTCATCAAGCGAACCATTGACTGCGTCTGTTGTGATTCTTGTGAAGTGTATAACACGTCACGGTTTGATACGCTGGTCATCCCGCAAATCATTTTTTAATTTTTGCGTAATCCTGGTCAACTGCCAGATTCTCTGCGTGGACAAACACCTACCGGGGGCGTGAGCAACTGCACTCAAACTGCCGGTAAGCCGGCCCAAATTCAGCTTTCAACAAATGCTAATGCTTTCCTTTTATCATTGAAGAGAGCGGGGAACCTGTAAGGTCCGTGAAACCGATCATAGTCGGTAGTGGGGGTCGTACTGGTGGACAGCCGGCGAATCGAAGCCTCTGGAGCTTTCCTGCGGAAGTGAGGCCACTTCCTTTCCAAGGTCTTCGAGCAGATTCCGCGGAGCCATGCGTTGTCTTCGAGACGAAACCAGCTAATGAATTGGGGTTCCATCTCACGCATATAAACGCACTCCGCGCCCTTTTTTCGAGAGTCTACCTGTGCGGACGTCGTTGCGGCACTTGTCCAGTTCGATTGATTGAAAGCTTATCGTTTCTCGTAGGAAATCAGGAGTGTTCGCTTTCCATTTCGCTGTCAGAGACAATTCGGTGTCTTCCGTCGAGAGAGAAGTGCACTCCTCAAGTTCGATCAGTTCCCGCGACTAGGGCCCCTCTCTGTTCACGCTTTGTTGAGGTATCGGATTCGAGATATCTCTTCTCCCCCCTGTTTACTTCGTCAGACACCAATGACGATTTTCTGATTGTTTACGACGTTTGCGTCTATTCTGTGGCAGTCGCGCGAAAGTAATTTCGCTCTTTCTGTTACACGAGTGAACATGTTGGTTATGTTTTTAATACAGATGTTTCACTTTATTGATACAGAGTATCTGCTATATTGGCTGTCATCTATGACTCTATAGTATCTCCATAGTTCGTCTTACAAGGACCGAAGAGTATTTTAGGTTTCACTTTGCCGTATTTGCATCTCTGTCTCTAGGGTATTTTCAAGACTAAAGGGTTCTTTGCGTCCATGTACACGGTCTCAAGTAGGCTTCAACCAACAGAATGTCGTGATGGGCTATTTGTGTATCGCTATCAGCTTCTAAAGATCTTTAGTAATGATCTTTAGTGGGATGTTAACTTCAAGTTTTTGATATGTTTTATCAGTTTTCACAGGCACCGAGGGTTGGTAGGTGGAGCCGTGGAACTTGCTGAACCATCTTGAATATGTCACAGGTATGTCTTTTGTTTTATATCAATTGTCTATTTCATAGAGGATTGGAATGAATAGAACAAAGCTTCCATTTGTAGACTCTATTGCAGTCTCACATGCACATTCTTTCTGTATGTTTAGTGATCTGTTGAAAGAACGGGAATATGATTATTTCTGTTGTTCTGTAGATACCTTTGTCTAAGACTCCTATCCAATGTTCCCTGGTGTAATTGTGGATCCATTGTTATCTTACTGCGTTGACAATTTTGGAATAACGAGTGGTCTCCGTTGTTCTTACTTGGGGATTCTTGAGCCTGAATTATGGTGATACTATTCGTAAATCTGTGCATGTGAGTCGAGGTAGTGTTCAAAGGAACAGTTGTAGATGGGGTTATATGGTCATAACATAAAGGTCAACAATTGAGAGGATATGCATGTCTGGACTTAAGATCTTATGTTCGGCGTGGAGCAGGAGGGTGAAAAAGTCGTGCTGAACGTGTATGATCTGAGTCAAGGACTGGCACGACAATTGTCTTCTTCATTGCTGGGAAAAGTTATCGATGGAATCTGGTAAGCCTCGTTGTGATCTATGTCCTCTGTATTTGTGTCAGACGTGAACTCACTGATGACACAATAATTGCCGATTTTCTCACGAAAAAGGTCAAGAATCAGTTTACAGGTAGTACTTTATTATACGAAAGTTTCACAACATGGAAGAGTACCATTTTAGACCTGACTTTTAAAATATGGGGAACACAGTTATTATAACAAGTAATCTCTTCTTCCTTTCTATGTTAGTCTATCTAAGGTTCCAAAATACATGCGATGTTCAGGCACACGGGAGTCGTTGTGTATGGGTTTGAGTACTACTTTGGAGGAGGTATCCAGATGACTCCAGTTGGACAAACGCCGTATGGTAAACCTCTGCGAGTTATCGAACTGGGTTATACACAAATTCCGAAGGAAGTATTCGAAGATTACCTACGGGAAATTGATCCGCGGTATACCCAGGCGACCTACAACGTGCTCCGTCATAATTGCAACAACTTCAGTGAGGAAGTGGCTCAATTTCTTGTAGGCAGTAATATCCCACAGTACATATTGGGATTACCGGAAGAAATTATGAACAGCCCCATGGGTCCTATGCTAAGTAAGTATTCTCATACCTGTGATGTGCGTGGGAATCGTGCTATATGCTGGACTTTGAATGGCTACTTGTATTGGACTGCCATGTTTCATCACGCCTACGGCGATCAAATCACTGAAACTTGAAAATTGCACTCCTCGCTCTGATTTCTCTGGCCGTTAGAAGGTGTGCATTGTCATTGATCATTGTCGAGCATTATAAGTAATTCTTGTGATGTGTGGCCGTAAATTGCTGAACTCTAAATGGTTCGTTTTATAAGACTGGTTGGTTTTATCTCGCTGAAGGAGATGTAAGTATTGAGGCTTGAAAACTGCTCTCCTCGTCTTGAGTTCCATTTCCGCAAGAATCCATCGTTCATTGTGGACTATCACTAGTTTAATTTTTTCGTGTTTTCATTCTGCAGTGCCAATGATTCAACAATTGGAGACAACTTTAAAGCACAATCAGGCACCGGCTATGGCCCAGCAGTTAGGCAACAATCAGGCTCTTCCCAATTTTTCTGGAGTTCATGTACCGACTTCTGTTGGAGTGTCTATGAAGAGTGCATCTTCAGGCAGTACACTTCCATCTTCAACACCGAGCTGCACTACAAGCACGGAGAAAACATCCACCAGAGCAGAATCTACGACGAATATTGCCACGCCTAATGTTGTGGATAGCAAGAAGGCCGAGGAACACAAAGATAAAAGCGTAGCTGCAGATGACAAGCAGGATACATTAGTGGATGCAAGAGCTAAGGTTCAGGAGGAAATAACTCGTGAGTTCATGGTATTAATGGCCTCAGGAAGTTTAAGGGCAAGTGAAGCAGCTGCTCTTGCTGCTCGTCGAGTGATGGAGAGACATGGTATAGGATCAGGAGTTGCAACCAACTAGGGTAGCCCTTTTTACCAAATTATTTTACATGATCGGGAATGTACATCTAGACTGAAATAACATTCCCTTAATTAATATACATTTGAGGCAGAATTGGTGAAATTCAGTGAAGGATGTGTTCTTTTGCTTCCTTTTGCAAAGTGGACGGGAGTCTGACAAAGACGTCTATGTGATACGATCATATGATGGACTGATTTCAGGAAGTTTAACGTTCAGTTTGGCAGTCTTGTCATGAACTTAGTGATGGTCCTCAGTTCTACATATATCTAGGGAAGAGTTGGCATTGAAGCCATTACCCAAAGAGTAAGAACTTGCTTCACTTGTAACGATTAAACGATTGATCATCTTCCAAGAAAGATTTTCTATCTTGAGTAAAGGATTGCACACAAAAATCTGAAAGATCAAACGATAGTAATAACAGCCACAGGCAAAGGACTGAAGTTATAGCATGGAAGGTTTTTCTGACATGAAAGTAAGCTTGTAGTATCAAAAAACAGTGTAAACCTAGTACCACGTGAGGACAACTATATACTATCGCTTTGATGATGGTGAAGTGAGTAGACGGCCGATCTTAAGTATAATCCTAGGGGTCATCTTTCAACTTGTGACACCGATAAAAACTTCGGGTTCAAGTGATGAAAACTCAAAGTAATCAGAGTACTATTCGTGAGTGTGTGAATCAGACAATCAGAGCCAAGAGTCAATGTCAATAATAAATAAATTAAAATGCAATATATACTAAATTTATTGAATTGCATTTTGAAAATCGACAAAAACCCAGAAAATTTAGAATGAGGTATCTTCATACACTATTGATCAATATCAAATTCTTCTTTGAGGTATGATTTGCATTGTACTCTTTAGCTTAACAGATACTAGAGTGAAAATTATAGAAATGTCACTCTACAAAAACCGCATATTATATAGAGTGAGATATTGTCCAAATGTATTGCGTAAAGATTATCTTTCTCTAACCCTCTATATTAATACTTAACCATACATTTTAAACTTTTTCACATTAGTATACATAGTTGTGGAGTGTAGAATAATGTTGACTCATAAACAGGCGATTAATGAACAAAAATCACTCAAGCTATTTCAGTGTACAGATGTGTTAACATATTTATTTTTAAAATGTTATTTTTGGAGCTAGCTTACCGTACATTATCTTTCTATAGCTATGTAGAGAACACAAACTGATATAATAGATGATAAAATAATCTGAATAGATGATGATTTAAGTATGTAAATGATTCAACCTAGATAAACGTAGGTGAGATAACACATATCTCACCTGTCTCACTTGTATTGTTATTGAGGAATAGTTTCGTTTTGATTGCAATTGCATAAAGTATGCTTCTTTCATAAAATGCCTGAGCATTTGGCTCTAAAAACAACCCACGTACTTTCTTTCTTGTGTGTGTGTGTGATGTTTGAGTTTATTGTGTGATTGAGTTATCGGAAATTTCCTGTAAGATATTAAACAGATCAGATTTTTGTTTTTTACACACCTAGAACACACTTTTCTATTTTTTAACTATATATATATATATATATATATATATATCATAATGCAAATGCACTCGATTGCATCAATATTCAAATGCGTATTATTATTTCTGCTATCAAATTTTCAGATTTATTCTCAAACTCAAGTTTTATTCAACTTCTTTCAAAACATGTGATTCAATGCTACCATTGATTCAAATATAGGCACAATTAAAATAAAAATTATCAATTTCATAATGAATGACGAACCCAATTTCTTGTCACTTATCACAGCTTATGGTGACCTTAGTCTTGGATATCATTTACTTCTCAAGGTTGCTTTATATCTAAAGAGTACGGCCAAGCCTAAATCGGTTAAAGGTTGAACTAGAATGTAATTCAACGTTTAACCGATTTAGAATCAAGCTTTCATGTAGCCTTGAGGATGTAGGGATTTTATTTCGGATAATATGTTGTTACTTAGTGCAGTTTGTACAATACCGATGAAGGATCCATAGGCTAATCACCGATTTTAAGCTTAAGTAAATTATACAGCAAAGAAAAACTGCTGATGCCAAAAGTAGGAAGCAAAAGCGAACTAAAATATATCTATTCCTCATCACCACGAGGTTTAAAGGTAATGGTGGTCTATGAAGACACTCACTGAAAAGTACCGATGCAGTATGAATGCTCTGTCATTAGATCTGTGACATGTGTTGACATAAGCTCATGATCCCTCACAACGAACTAAGAATGTGTGAGGCTTTCAACAAGATATAGATGATTTCCTGTTGTGAGGACAGTAATCAACAAGGAATTTTGTGCGCACAATGGTTTGATTGTAGCGCAAATTGCTGGCATTTAATATTCTGCAACAACTTAACATTCAGAAAGACTCGTGGCCTTTATTATAACTCTAATTCGAATAGAATTTCCTACATTGAAAACGCAAGTTACCTTCTGAGCTGGTTCTCTACTCTGCTATAAGGTTTCTCTTACTAGAGATCTTCCTTTATCAACAAAATTCTCATTGTATCGACTTCACTGTAATCTTCTTTCTTCTTTCAAGCCGCCAAATCTGGAGGCATGTCTATGACATTTTATCCACATGTTTGTCTTTTTACAACTTCTCAGTTTGCGATCACCACGTAAGAGCACTTTACCATGACGGCATCGTGCTTTGAAAGATCGGGACAAATTGTACTAGACTGGAAGGTGTTCGATAATTCATGCCATCACACACTTCCAACGTGGAAATATTTAGGGATTCTAACAGCCATGTGTCTAAGTATCTTAATCCGCTTAAAGGTCAAACCGTCAAACCGTGTTTTAAGTCAAACCGTTACGGTTTGACCCCACACAATACGTTTTTTTTTAATCCAATTTTTTTTAACAAACTGGTATTCGCTGTGAATAAATAATATAAAAAATAAAAAATACATAAAAAATATTTTACAATATAGACGTGGGGTTGAACATGTTTTTTCTATGTGATAGACTCATTATTCTCTTTACTTTATAGTGTAAATGTATCTAAAATTATTTTTTTATATTTCCGTATAACATCTACGCGGAATAATTTGAATAACGTATGTGAACTAGTACATATTTGCAATTGTGATGCTAATGGGAACAAGCCACACGTTACTCGTTTACTTCCAACTTTGTTGAGGTTGATAAGGTCTGCACATCCTGATATAAATTGTCTCATTTGTCTATTTGACCACTTTAGCATGTTTCAAGCTTTCGATTAATCAAGTCTTTTTGCGTTACTATACAGCTGCAAAACTTGTGACCCCTATCACTCTGGCTTTGAACATAACACCGCTTTCTCTTTCAATTTCCCTTTTTTTTATGCATTTACAGTTGTCTTGCTCGATCGCCGTAGGTTTAGCTACACTTTACTTATGTACTTAAGAGTGAACATAGGTCGAGAGGAGAGATTCCACCATGCTTGATGCTTGTTGAAATCTTCTCAATTTGGGTGCTTTGCTGTAACTAGTGAGTGATCCAGATACATATTCACTCAGTCAATCATTTGATGAACTCAATTAGTATCTTCATATTGTTATGGAGAATCGACCTCATAATTGAATGAATAATTAATAAGTAATGAAATTTGCTCCGTAATATCTTGAAGAAAGTCACTCTTGACCGAACTAGCGCTACGTTACTCATAGAAGTTTCCGTCCGCACTCAAAGTCTTATTTGACGGGAGAAGATGCTCATACGAGACTAGGACTTTAGTTTTAATGCGAGGTGAGCATCCCATAATGTTCAGGAATGTGAAGTAACTGCGTGCAGCCTACTATCGTAGGATGACTCGTGGAAAAAGTCAACGTCATAAACTACAAGACTTGTGCAGAAAAAATGGTTTCCTTTCTCTTATTTGACCGCTACATTTTCAAATCGTAACTTCGTATGCATGAGTCGCAAATAGGCTGAATGGTGCGATGGTTATTTGACCGCTACATTTTCAAATCGTAACTTCGTATGCATGAGTCGCAAATAGGCTGAATGGTGCGATGGTTTTTTGTTTTTTTAAGGAGTGCCTAGTTATCCTTCGATTTAGGTTAATTATCACTCACCCTACTATACTAAGGTGAGGAATAATGAGCAAATTACCTATAATTAGTTTAGGTTGGACTTTTGCCAAGAACCGGGAGCTGGAGGTACTTGACCAGCCCAGCGTCAATTTGGGTTTGGGCAGAGATACCTTCGAAGAACTTTACACGAGCAAGTTGCCGGTGTGCTCGCCAGCCTTGTTGAAATAGAAGTGTTGTTGGCCACTCCGATCCAGGCGATGGCCAAACACCAGAAGTTGATCTTGTCTCTAGTCTTTTGGGTGGACGGCGTGTAGAACAGCTCGACGACGTCGAAGAGGAAGAGAGTGAAAAGGGGACTCAAGTATCTTGTGACTATGGCACCCAAAGTCCCAAGACTCGAGGATGCAAACGCCGGAGCCAAATCCTTGAACAAGCTCCATAACCTGACCTTGGACGAACGCTTGGCGAAAGGCGTCTCGGCCTTCTCCGCAAGGCTGGGGACTACGTGTTTTGCCACTCTAATCTTGATCAAGAACTTGACCGACCACTTGGCTAATTATCACTCACTCTAGTATATTACGGTGAGGATAATCAGTCTAAAGTGAGAGATAACTAGCCACTCCCAGAAAAAACCATCACAGGATTCAACTTCTTTGCGACTCATGCATACCAGGTTAGGATTTGAAAATGTAACGGTCAAATAAGAGAAAGGAAACCATACATACAAATGAGATCTCCAAGAAAAGTAAAAATAAGATTAATCATCTTTCACTAATTTGCATCAGGTTTGAAGAACATCAAGTTAGAAAATGTCTACTCCGGGTTATCAAAATTAAGGAATAGGGTGAAGATAGTATTTTTTGTTTGCTACAGCATAAATTATGACTAAAGATAAGTGTCTATTTCTAGAGTATGTGCCCATTCCAATTGTTTTGTCTTCTTTTCTTGAATTTATAGAATATAATGTAAATTAATTTCATCATATTGGCGTGCTAAAACATCACCACAAAAACAGCTAGCTTTTTTAAATACATGCAGAAAAAAATTTATTGTGAAAATTACG